TGCACCCCCGCGAGAGTAGTTCTGAGAGTGGCGGGTTTAGTCGGGATTTATTCCTCGGGCGCGCCGGGTTGACAGCCTCACTAGCTCCGCAGTGCTAAGGAAGAACGCCGTATGAGCCACCAGACGTTGCCAAGTTTCCTCCGATAAAGACCGAATTTACTGGAGAAATTGGGAAAATTATTTATCAAAAATTTCAAACTATTTTGTACGCAATTTAATATAAAATATCTGAAAATTTAAAGGAAAAATATGCATGAATATTGTCAAAAATACATGTTTTATCATCGAAAATTTGGCAACTCTCGAATGTTCGTACGGCGTTTATCCTTAGCACGGCAGTCATAGCTGAGAGGCAACATGAAAGGAGGGGAAGGGTGATCTCGGGTTTATGGCATATTTGAGTATACTGCTGTGAGAGGAGCTCTATATTTTCCGGATGTTAAACATACGGGAAAGAGTCTCCTCAAAAATCTGACTCTTCCCCTCCTCTCCCCACCGTATCTGCGGATCTGAACTTTTCGTCAACTTGTACCTTTTGTAACCTGAAACAAAGTATGGTAACATCTACTATGAGTCTACTTAATTTTTTACATAGTGTTACTATTTAGAGAAAATAACCAGAGTGCGCAATTTTTTAATGTTGAATTACAATATTTTAATTGCAACTTATCGCTATCGAATTTCCATCCCTGAGAAATCTGCTGCATGGAAGTGAAATTTTCTGTACAGGGCATAGAATAAGTTCTTCAACAATGAACAGTTTCTTTCAATGGAATTTTTACTCAATCTGAGCCCCTATTTTAATGCTATAAAGTTGTTATATCATAAAAAATGCCTGTTTTTGTGCTGAAAATGTATATTAAGCATCACCTCATTTCAAAAACAAGCTTTGAACTGAGGCTGAAAATTCTCACGTAGGATTTCTTCATCACTATATTCTTATTAATCGATTTCTGGGTTTCGAAAAAGGATAAAATCTGAGGGACCTTCCGTTGACGATATTTAACTTCTAGGGACGCATTCAATGCTACTAGCAAAATTTAATTGATTGTCGCACCGGTCAAGAAACCTTAGAATGACATGAGGAGATACCATTTTTTGTCTTAACCAAGAGAGTCCTTACATCAGTGGAATGTCTTTCTGAACCCAGTCGTGTGACGAGGAGATTGCTCGATCATTATAGATCGTCCATCCCTCTAAGTTATGAATCACTGTGACTAATCCATTGCATTAGTGCTCAACGCTTCCTGAATTCTTGCAACAGAATGTTTCTATTTTAACAATATCAATGTTTCTCATCAAAGTTCCAAACGTCGTTCTCTCATCATGGTTTGGTTTTATGTAATCGCGGCGGAGGGTCTTTGAAAAATAAAAATGGCAACCTCTAAAAATGTCTGCAGCGCAATACTCGTATTGCGCTGCGCTGCATCAGCTCTTGTCACCTTTATTGCGAAATTATTCTCACAGTGGTACTATCTTACGCAATCGCATGGTTCTAGATACCTAGCGGCAAACTAAGGTTATCTTACAATCGGAGTAACTGAACTTTTACATCAGGCATTAGAATTAATGAGCAATTTCAACCGAAAAAAATGTGATGTTACAGACAGCGTTTGTCGAATAGCAAAAAATATCCTCGGAAGTATACAAAAAACCTCATTGCGTGGAGCTTATCCATATGCCTCAACATACTGATCGTTAAAATCCGCTTCATTCCATTTTTTTACAAAATTTCTTATGCTTATTGGTAACATTATTTCCTCTTTTGATGGTTTGTTCCTTTTTTTGTGCAGGTTTAGGACAATTACATCAAGAGTCTGGAAAAGACTATAGTGTAGAAACTTTAGGTGGTTCTTTTGGTTGCAGTAAAAAGAAAAAGAAACGACGACATAGGTGAGTTTATAATTACTTTTTTAGATTTTGTTTTCTAATATCTATACTATAAGCTCCAAGACCTCCTAATTTTGCGAAACTGGTGACGCTTAGTTCCAGCGTTCTACCGGGCCGATTTTCATGATTTTTGCGGCTATCGACGGGCAATTGTCTCTAGATAAGCCAACTTTTTTCAGATTTTCAAAATATGGCCCAGGTTTTTTTATATTACGTGGTAAAGTTGCGAATTCTCCCATTTAAACAATGTAAATTTATACTTTTTGTCATAGTTCGTTTGAGCGTTCTACCGGGCCGATTTCCATGATTTTTGCGTAGATCGACAGGTAATTGGCCCTAGATGAGCCCGCTCTAATTAGATTTTGGAAATAGAACCCAGGTTTTTTTAAAATCACGTTATAAAAGTGAGTGAATTTACAGAATGCTCCGGGACTGCTACCGCTATGCGCGGGAGGATGCGCAGTGGTCGAAGAGGTTGCGCAGTGGATGTGTAGCCTGCGCATCAGCTCTATACTTATCTACACAAGATTCGCACCTCCTTCCTCAAGACGAGCGGTGGCCGAGACGTCGTATGCGTCCACTTAGACTACGATGTGGGTTCGATTCCCGACTTTTGATATACTGAATTATTACCTGATTATCATTGTTCGTTGTTTTACTGCAATATTTCATCAAGCAGTCATTCTAAAACGCTTTCTTTTGACTTCAAAAAATTATTTTTTTCTTTATTCATCAAAACCAAAAATTATTTCATTCTACAAGTAAAGTATACATCATATCGTAATTTTTTAGGGGGAAAATAAACCTAACACTGATAGGAGGGTAAAAATAGGGCCGCGAAGCGGCCCATTGATGGCGCGGAGCGCCTTCAGGGGGTTGGGCCGCGTAGCGGCCAGGGGGCGTAGTCCCCTAGTAATTTACTATTTAACGTGTAGGCGTTTTTTTTAAACACTAAATGTTCATATATTTAGCAGGAGTGTATAAAATTTAATGGTTCCAAAGCAATTATTGGCTACAAGGCACCAGATAGATATATTTTTAACATTTAAATTTTTACATGCGAGGGAGCGGAAGATACATACATTTTAGAAGTAACAAAAAACATTAAATTTAATTTTTATGCGTAGAGTTTATGTATATGCTGGAATCTTTTTCGTCTGAGAAAGACTCCTCGTGTGGATTTAATAATTATTCATCGTCAAAACCGTCAACTGTCAATTGCATCGTAAATCCCAACATCTTTTGATACATCGTGTCTTAATGATTCTAGTCAGTTTCATAAAAATGTTGGTCCTTCTGATGCAAAATCTCAGATTGCAATGTGAACATAGGTTTGGTGATTCTATCTTAATTATTTCGCTGAATGCGTGATTCCTAGAGGCAACCCGTTTCAAAGAGGAGTCTCGGAAAGTTACATTTCAGCGGCTGAAAAAGACATGTCTGAGAGACGTAAGAGAAAGAAAAGGCGCAGAGAACTGCTTTCTCAATTAGCTAGAAGTTCTAATTAAAACTTAATTAGAAGTCGGCCGACGCGGATATTACGGGAATCGCAGACAAGTTCCAGGCTGATCATTAAAATCGTCCCCTAATAGAGCCGTTTTAACTTAATTAAGTTCCATTGTCGCTTTCTTTACTCTTCACGCCCAGAGGCTTTGCCGAAGAAAGTTGCCTGATAGTTCCATTGATACTAACTTTCTGAATTCTGAAATTTCAAATCTGTACTCGAAACCCAAGCTGACAACCGAGTTGAGCTGTGCTATTTATTGAAAAAAAATGGTGTTCCGCACGGACGGCCGACAGATTGGCTGATTGAGATCCAGGTGACCCTGTAGCTACCTTAGCGCCAACAAAATGTTTTTTATAAACCAAATACATTGGTGCACCAAATAACGTTAGAGAAATAGTGAAAGTTTGGACACTGGATTAACTTGTTGCAGTGACTGACGGGAAAATGCATGAAGTAGAGTCAGCTGGGGCAAAAATCAGTTGGTTTCTTTGGTTTTTTGTTTTCCAGTGTTTTCTCTCACTTCATATCCTTGCTCGATTATAAATAAAAACTCCCTTGAAATTTTAAACGATTTTTAGTTTTGGTAGTCACGAGGGAGAAAAACACTTTTGCAGACAAGATGTATTCTTTTTCAATTCCACGATTATGCTTATTTTGTATTTGGAAGGTCCGATAATCCCTAAGAACTTGTTACAGTTATTCCCAGCGTTTTGCCTTCAATTCTTCGGTTAGGCAAAACGGTTACAGTCATGCTCGAATAGTTGTATGCCCTCGATTTTAGTCAGTTTCATTAGGCAAGAAACGAGGATATTATGTTAGACGTGATGTTAAAAGTGGAAGTTTTTGACGCATGTGACACAGAAAATGCGAGCGTTCTCATTTTCTCGTTTCAATTTTTACATTTTTTAGATTCTGTTCCAGTTGAGAATGGGCATGTACTTGGCCCGAAACGTCCTGGTTGTTTTATGTCTCCTCTAGCCCTGTATACCCATTTGTTTTTTTGTATTTTAGTGTGTTTTTATTGTTGTCTGCATTCGGGCTATTTGTGTCTTTCCCTCTCTCATAAGTACACAGTAATGCAAATTGCATAACTCATCCCAAAAACAATATGTATAAAACTGCATGGAAATATGAGGATGGCAACGAGGAGTTGGAGCATGTCCCTGAGGAACTAATCGACCAATCAAGAGTGACACCTTGTCCGAGACCGGATCTAAAAATCCTTTGCCTGAGCGAGGAATGAGAAAAAGCTCCTGGTTTTGTCACATAATCGAGTGCGAGTGCCAACAAAGACGCAGCGACGGCGACGCCCGGCGAGGAACCTTTTCCGTCTAATTTAATTAAGGGATGAAAATCGTATTTCAATTATCTGCAGCTTCGGCGCTTGTCGCTCCGCCTTTGAAAAGGCACGGAATCCTCGTGCAAACCACCCGTTGCCAACTCAAACGCTATTGCTATTTACTCCGAATCGCAAGTTCCAAACAAAACAAAAATAATACAGAATCAACGAAAATGAAAAAACCTTCGTCCCTCACCAGTGTCCGTAAGAGTGCCTATACATAGGGGGAGTTTGGACGTACGGAAGTATAGTAGTTTGTTATTTTATTAGACGTAAATGGACGTATACATATGGACGCATTTATGCTAAAAGGAAATATTCGTCATAAACTAACTATCTAAATAACTAACTAACTTTGTTGCACACAAAACTTATGCTTACAGTTCATTTTAGCATAAAATCCTAATCCATTTGAGTAATTTTGATGTTAGGTCATAGAGTTTTTAGGGCCCAAAAAGGCAGCCACACTATGAATTCGAATCATCCAGAGTGACTCATTATTACAATTATTACAATCTGTTATCTGTAAATTACGTATTTGACTTAGTTTTGGCATAAATTCACCCATTTTTCCGGAATAGCGCTTATTTATGAACATTTTTAGCCATCTTGGTTTGATATTAGAATCTAAAGATTGGCAGTGACATTTTTTGTGTTAAGAGGTTGTCTGTCTTATCGGGCCTTACGACCTCAATATTTCGACATGTCCGCACTCTCTCAACATAGGTACTCTAGTGTCTGCCCTTAGGAAAAGTGAGCTGTCGATAAAAATTCAAAATTAAGTTATTGATATCAAATGACAATATTCCGGCAAAATTCGACATTCATACCAAGGAACAAGGAACGTAAAGTCCGGCTTTTTTTGGTAAAAATATATACAATCTTGAACTTTTCCTCTTTCATTTCACTTAATTTCATAAACCTCACTATTTCAAGAAAATTAATGACAATATTGTCTGCACTCACATACGTCATTGACCTCTTTCCTTCATGGCTGCATTACAGACACCTCCTTTTCTCTCTCGTGTAGTTCATCGACTTACTTCCAATTTTAGACGGCACGCTGGTCCGTTGTGCGTCACATTACTGGATGGTAAAAACTAAGCACTTAAAAGCACGGAACGCCAACCGAATTGCCACTATTGCTTTGAGCGTGCCTCTCTTGAAAGTTGCACGCGCGGCCATTGTAAGGGCCGGAACTGCACTGGCAATTGTGTTGTTTTTTTTTGCCAGAGTTTTTGCTTATTACGTTCTCTAAACTGAAGGGTGAAGTTTTTTGAAGGGGCCCATGCGTTAGCTCTGGTACCCAGTGTATTCATCGGTCAAAGAAAAAAGGAGGTATGACTAGTCATTACTCTGAGAGAGCACAAAGCTCCCACTGGTTTTTTTCTTGCCCCCCCCCCCCCCCCCGCCAAAAAAAAGAAGAAAACTCAAGCGAACAAATTTAGAACTGGGAAACAAGCCTCACGTAAAATTCGATGCTGATGAATCATGAGATTTTTCCACTCCGCAAGTTCTTGTATCGAACTAAAGGCTTATACGGGGGAAAAAAACTTTGTACTTCGGTCCCGAGGCTCAGGTCATATGGATCTTTGAGGTTTTCGAATCGCATCCGAAAACTTGAGGTCCAGCTGCCGAAGTTCAGGTCCCACATTTGAAGTACTCAGGTACTTCGGTTGGAAATCCTAAGATGTCACCCGTATATTACGATGGAAGTATTTCAGATGTGTGACTCGAACTTCTTCAGCTGGAACCTAAGTTTTCGGATACACGATACGAATAATTCGAAGATTCATATGACCTGAACTTCGGATCCTATGCACGAAGTTTTTTTTTTTTTTTTCGCCGTGGCACTTTATTGCAGAAATTATTGCATCAGAAAAGTGACGGACCTTCTATACTATAAGCTCCGAGACCTCTTAATTTTGCGAAACTGGTAACGCTTAGTTCCAGCGTTCTACCAAGTCGATTTTTATGATTTTTGCGGCTATCGACGGGCAATTGTCTCTAGATAAGCCAACTCTTTTCAGATTTTCAAAATATGGCCTAGGTTTTTTTACATTAAGTGGTAAAGTTGCGAATTCTCCCATTTAAACAATGTAAATTTATACTGTTTGTCATAGTTCGTTTGAGCGTTCTACCGGGCCGATTTCCAAG